GTGGCCCTAAGAGCAACAATGACCATTTATGGGTCTCCAGGACCCACGCCAGTCATTCAACCTTTGTCTTACCGAGGAAAGTAAACTTTGAACCTCAAAGGTAACATCAACACTCTGGAGAATTACATGACCCATCAAATAGTTCCAATAAAGGGAGTTCACAATCATGTGTCCTGATTATGGGAACAAACTCAGTAGAGCACAGTGGAACCCCCCCTCAGTAGGCGGATGGGTGGGAAGAGAGCTGATTGTCATGCACTCATACCTCCAGACTGCAACTTCCTAGCATTCTAGAATGCCCAAAACAGAACCAGGAAAAAAGAAAGGGAGCTTAATGTTCATATGTTCTCACAATCTATTTATTCTTTAATAAATACAACTTAAGTATGGTGATGCTGGGGACAAGGAAAACAGATATGAACGTGGCTGGCACTGTAACGTCTTTCAAGAGGTTTATAGGCAAGTATAGGAGAAAGAGTTCTCAACTTGCCTCTTAAATGAACAGTGTCTCAAAGCAAACATCATGGATAAAAACCATCAAAGTTCTGGTCTACTCACTGAGAGTTTTCCATAAGCTTAATGGTGTTCTGCTGAAAAATGTTTTACCATCAGAATTGTGTTCTGGAAATCATGACTCCACCTTATTTGTGACTTCCCCTCACTCCCCACAACCTTGAAGCTCAGAACCCAGTTCTGATGTCCCATCTCCATTGTTGGCTGAACACCATCCAATGCAGCAAAGGAGGCCGTGAATTTATGAAGCAGGAGCTGGGAAAGGACATTATGAGGCAGAAAAACAGGAAGTGAGGGTTGCCCCCCACCCCCGGCATTGAGGAGCCAGGGTCACCATTATGTCTTCAGCATCTCCTGCCACAGCAAAAGAGGCTGGGGCCTCCGTCTTGTCAAGTGGGAGTTGGAAAACCAGGACTCACCAGCCCACCTCGGCTCCTGGCTTCACGGCATAGAGTGTGGGGAAATGTGTTGAGAAGAGGCCATAGCGTCTCTCCAGACCCCCAGTGTTCTTGTCTGATGCACAGCTATGTTGTCTGCCTTTGTCAACATAAAGGACACATTCAACACTAAGCATAACACTCACTGTTTTACTTACATAATTGTTATGTTTTTGAAATCCATGGTACAAGGGATTAAGTCTCAACACTATGCAGCTCTTTGCAGCCACTGCAGCATCAGTACATCTGCCTGTTCTGCTCCCCCTCTGTCTCTGGGGAATCCTCACCTCTGGCCTATACCACAGCTCTTATATGCATAAATAAATAAAAATTAATCTTAAAAAAAGTACAATCTACTTTTAAAAAATTAGTAATTTTAACCCTGAAGTGTATTTTTTTGTCCTGTGCACGAAGTGTCCCACTGAGTCAGGAACAGACAGGACTGCCCAGGAAACTGAATCTACTAGACCTTGAAGCCCAGGGGTGTGAGAGCCATAGATAATTTTACCGGATTGGCTAATATTACCCGTGGCTGTGGATCACATCAGTCCTGGTATTGCCTTTGAAAGCCATGGAAAACTTCTGAATGATTTCCGATAAAAAAATCTTTCAATTCAGAAATACATTAAAAGGCACACTTTTATTGGAAATGTAAATAGCCACTTGCTTTTCCAAGATAGTCACCTTCATCATTTATATGCTTTTCATGATTAGAATTGTAGAGACAAAGGTCAAAGCTCCCTGGACTTTTCTCATGAGGAAAGCTATTATTTTTTAGAATGTTATCAATGCACACATATGTAGACATATAAATATTTATACAAAAACTTAAACCACCTAGTCAGTGACTAGAAATGTGAATGAAAATGGCATGCTCTGGAATCTTCCCTCGGTGACTATCCTTTCAAATCTGGAGAACCCTGTGCTTCTTTTTGCCATTCCTATCTTCACTGATGGACAAAGGTCAACACTTTATATAATGTAAGCAGAAATGGACTTTGGATCCTCAACCAGTTTACAGAACAAAATAGACAGGTGTCACCTGAAGGTTAAATGATGAAAGATCACATTGCCAGGTTAAACGTATTACATAGTTTTGGTAATTTTCACACTGTCCTACTTCTATATTGTTGAGAATATTGATCAGAGTCATAATCTGTGGTATGAAAAAAGGTACAAAGCCCTTTGGTTAAATAGTAGGAGTGGAAGACACTAAAACACAGTGATTTTAGGAAAAGCTGTGAAGGCCAGCCAGATGTTAGAGAGAAAGGTGAAAGACCACAGGCTGAACTGCAGAACTACTTTGATTCTTTTAAGCCACAAGTGTAGAGCAGAGACGTGCCTGGTAATAATACAACCAGGAAAGGCTCAAGGTCTCTGGCCGAAGTTTCACCATGCATTTGCCTCAAGACTGCCCTAGAAACTGGACTAAGTTGTGGTTCAAACGTTTTTAAATCTAAATAAAAAATAATGCCACCATTGAGTAAGTACTGGGTTGTCAGAAAAGTCATGATGCATTTTTGCTTGAAAAACAGAAGAAATATGCCATGACTTTTCTGACAACTCAATCTGTAAATGTAAGAGAAAGCTTGGGAAGGAGTTGGATAGAATTAGATCACAAATAGTGATCAGATGGTTGATGTGAGCCTGCAAACTACAGAGGAAGCTCTAGGTTTTGTTTGTTGTTTCCCCCTGTCTTTGATCAGAATCAGACTCAGGCAGAGGTCAGGAAGTAGGCTGCCATATTGTCTCAGTCTATTTTAGCATGGGTAATTGGGAGAAAACCTCAGTCTCTTGGATAAGTTAGGGTACACCTGCTCCTGGAGGCAACGGGGAGTGGATCCAGAACTTACGTACACCTTACATGTCATCATTTTAAGTTCTATCACATGGGTACACATTTAATTTTTACAAAAAAACCTATAACACAAATAGGAACTCAGTTTTTTCTTTTTATTTTAAAAGATATTTTATTTATTTTTGCGTAGGAGAACAGGGCTGTCAGCCAGAGGTTCAGGGGTGAGAAGATGCACCAGAGACATAGTGGGGTGCAGACCAGTCAGATCTACTGAAGTGCATTGTTGAGGAGGGAGCAGCAAGTGAAACAGGAAAGGGGGGCTGCTCCCAGTTGAGTCGCCTCCCTGGCGGGGATGTAGCACAGGCTGCAGAGCTGACAGTGCTGAGACTTACTCCTTTCTTTTAATTATTATCATTTTTGCTTTTGCAGAGTAACAAATTATAAAACTTTTATGAAATGTATTCATATTTTATGTCAATGTCCATCACTTCTCAGAATCTCATTCCCCAAATCTGCTCATTTTTTTATAAAACTGTATGATTATAAAGTTTTTAAAAATTATCTAAAAATTTTAATTGCAGTAAGATTAGAAATTAATCTTACTTAAAGATATATGTAAAGTGAGACTCAGGATAATGTATTTTTTGTGGCAGATCAAATGATAGGTGGTAAGGTGAGAAAAGTCTGAATTTCTGAACTCTCAGTCCAGTTCTCATTTGCATTTTATCAAGCAGATTCTTGACAAAATGGAATCAAAAACCAAAACCCACAATTACTGCAGAAATTTTTCAAAAAGTGTCACCTCAAAGTCTCAGGAAATTCAATGTTTCTAGTTCATATATTTCCTTTTAAATATTTTTCCCAGTTGGAATACAAATTTTTGACACCAAGCATCCTTGTCTCAACCTCTGGCTGATTCTAGCAGGTATTTTTAGTGATTACAAATCAAATGAATCATTTTTCAAATTTAAATTTTCACACTCATGGAATGGAATGCATTTGGTCATTTGTTCTGTTAATAACTTGAAGTTGAACAGAAATGAGATGAAGCTCAAACGTAGGTTAAGTGAAGGCCTCCAGGTGGCCTAGGAGTTAAGTCTCAGCACTATCACCGCTAAGGTGAGTTTGATCCCTGACTAGGGAGCTGACCCACCAGCAACAGCTGCTCCACTCAGCAGTGGATTCCAGTTAACCTGCCTGTTCTGCTCCTCACTGTCTCTGGTGAGTGCTCCCAGCCCCCAGACCTCTGGCCTATGCCCCAGTTCCTCTATGTGCAAATTTTAAAATAAATAAATGAATGGGAGTGGGGAAGTGCAGTGGACTATCGTGATGGCACATGGGTGATTTGGTGATGGGAAGCCCATGGGGATTACAACTGAGATGGAAAAAGGCACCAAATAATGTAAAAATAAACTTACATTGGCCCTCCCGGGTGGCGCAGCGGGTTAAAGCACTGCACTAAGAAGCTTAAGCCAATTCCACATGAGTTCGATCCCCGCCTGCCCCGGAAACTGAAAGTTTTCCAGGTTTATGAATGTTCTATATCGTGTACCCTGATAGTCTCTTACAAACTTATAGGGCCTAAGCCCTTTATTTACACACAGTATTTAATTAGCCCAACAGTGGTTAAAAACAGAAATGTCCCTTAACAGATGAGCTCAGCATGAAATACAGTGTCTCCATTTGTTGCAGGCTTATAATAATAAAGACTAGTAATGTGCAAAAGAAATTAAAACAAGCAACTCTAGAAAATCTGAGTTACCACTAACTTAGCAGGCTCAATAAAGAAAGCAACTATAGAAAGCTATTTTAGAAGTCCTTAAAGAATGTTTCATATGATTTCCAGAGACAGGCCAGCCAACATTCCTTATCTGGCAAGTATCTGTGTCAAAAAACAATCTTTGCAATATTTTTTTAGAACATCACAGGCATCAATGTTCTATTAATTTTATTATATATGTTTTATATGTCCATACATACAAACATATACAGATATTTATGCAACATGTATGTATAGGCACACACACATATATATTATGTATTGCTACAGCTTGGCAGACAGTCACCTTTAATATTATAATTGCATTGATTTTGGTGGGGAGAGAGTAACCAGATAATGCATATAACCTTTATATCTATGCAATCAATAAACTCTTTCACTGTAAAAGAAAGGTAATGATCAAAACATCAAAAGTAGCATCTAGCCAACATTCTACATGTCTTCCAAAATGAGTGAAGTTAAAATCTCTTACCATCCAAGCAGTAACAAAATCCCCCATCCAGGTTCCCACTGCTGCAAGTTTCATGAAACTTTCATTTCGGATGCCCATATAGTCCGTGATGATATATGCTCTGTGGGAACAAACACACAAGAGGTCGTCTGGACTCAGAAAGCCATTTATCCAAAGCCTCTGATTCAGCAACACGCAGAAGAACTGTGTCCCCCTTTCACAAAACTCGACCTATGCTTACAAACCTGAAAGGTCAGGAAGAGATCTGGGGGTGTCTAGGCCAATCCTAGTTAGGTTTGAAGGCTGACTGTAGTTATACTAGTTACCATTTACATTTCATTTTTGAACTCTACAACTGACAGTACCTGAACAATACCTGAATTAGACTGACTAGAAAAGGGTTAACTTTCCTTCAGTTCTGCCAAGTCAGAACAGACACCTGGGCAAGGCACTGGAACAATATCACACTTGAATTAGGGTGTGAAATTATAGGTTAAGAGGTTTGCTGAGGGGTTAAGTCTCAGCACTGTCCCCACTATGGCCTGAATTCAATCCCCAGCCAGGGAGCTGACCCACATAGGGGGCAGCAGACCTCTCCTATCTTACCTGCTGCTCCCCTCAGCAGTGGATTTCAGTAGGCCCACCTATTCTGCACTCCCTTCTGTCTCTGGCAAGTTCTCTTAACCCCTGCACCTCTAGCTTTAACCTCAGTTCTATGGAAAAAAAAAAAAAATCACACCTGCATATTGTTCAGAATCAAGTCAAAATTTGAAAAAAAAATTTCACACAACGAAGCAAGGTAAAGCTTGATTCAAATACATGTGGCTTACAACATGTGGTTACTTATACAACAGTAACCAGTATACTTAATTGCATCACTCTTTTTCTTTTATTTGCTTCCTGTAACACCAATTCATATTCTTCAAAGTTTGGAAAGAAATTCATAGGTGCAAGTGACCATTTTCATCTTCTTATTTGTTAGTCAAGGAAATCATAAGCATATGTTTACTGTTTGCAATCTTCTCCAAGGAAACTGGGACTAAGGGAGATCACAGAAGTTGCCCAATCACTACCAAATAACATATAAATAGTAGTTAAAAACTAAATAGCATCCTTCTGGCTTTATTTAACACAAAACAAACTCCTGAACTTTTATTTATTTTTTTCTGTAAGCTTCATTCACCAACCTTCATTCACCAATAGGTAAATATTTTAGGATCTCAGCTCACAATTCTGATTCTCCAATTTTATGTATTTCTACAATCACCAAAAAATATATAGCTATCATAAATTGCATACTTGTGATGTGTCAGAGACCACTTATAGCACCTTAAATTCCATGGCTGCTGGCAGCTTTCATCTCAGCATAGTGAAATGCAGCATTATTCCCATCTCACAGATATGGAAGTAAGACATTAAAGAGTTTCAGCAACTTATTCATTGTTGGGCACAAAGAAAATGGATAAGATTTGAATTTAAATTGTTACCCAACCCAGGAATTTAACCATTTTGTTATTCTATCTTCCTACAAGCAATGAGATATTATAAAAAAAGAGTATCAGGCCTTCCGGATTTCAATTCCCAGACAGGGAGCTAACCCACAGAGGATGCAGCAGACCTCTCCTGTCTCACCCGCTGTTCCCCTTAGCAGTATAGTTCAGTCAATCCATCTGGTATGCTCCCCACTTTCTCTCTGGAGAACCTTCTCATGCCTACACTCTGACCTACAAGCCAGTTCTACAAGCAGAAAAAAAAAAGAACATCCACATTGCCCCCCAATATTTTAGTAGGCAGTGAAGGTCTTGATTTATTTCCTTTGAGGCTGATTCATAATTCTAGAAGAGCAGCCAGAGGCTGCAGCTCATCAGGGCTTCCGCTAAGCCTCTGTCTCCACTTACACTGAGTTCACTACTATAAGCAGTGTCTACTTGAAAATTCCACTTTAATCTAGGTGGCATGGCTTTACTCCCTTCAGAAACACTTCTATGGGACAGTTGTTGGGCAGTGAACTCTGTGTACTCTTGGGCTGGGAACTCAACTATGTGCCTTACAGAGTATTTGCTGTGGTAGTGGTCCAGCTCCTTCAATGAAGAAGTGACGCTCCTATACTGAAAAATCTGCCCAATGCCCCATCCCTACCTGTTTACTTCTACTATACATATCTGTACAAACACAAGGAATGTGCCCTGAAATTTCTACTTTAGGTAAAGGTATTCTAGAACTAATTGAAGAAGTGAAGCAGGTCATTATTCTTTCCTTCCTGTATCTAAAATTAGGAAGGAAAAGGATACACTTTGAACAGATCAATAACTCAGCAGAGAACTAAATAATGAAATCAAGTAGTAAAATGACAACCCCCCCCCATCCATTTTAAGGCATATGATTTATGAAGAAGCCATGAGGCCAGAAAGAAAAAGATACTAGCTTCAAGAGGATTGTGGAAAAGTGAGCTATACAGTCTCTAGGGACATTTGTTGATTCTGCTATTGCAAGACAAAAGGAGAATTTAGCCTCAGTTAGGCAGAAGGCAGTCTCACCAGAAATGTAAGGAGCCAACAGAGCAGTGAAAAAGGAGGGGCCTGAGAGGGCATGATTTCTTTCAAGACATTTGCCAAATTGAAGGACAAAGCAAAGTCTCTGGAAAGCGTAGCAGATGTTTGGTGACTTCATGATGCTGACAAGACTATTATAATTCAAGACTATTATAATTCAATGCCAGAGGCTATGGCCTTGGAGAGAATACACAGAGCTATGGAAGACTGGAGAAAATGGAAGGTCGGTGGATCGTGAGTGAAAGCACATATATCAGTCCTTCTCAATCCCCAGAACCAGTTTCAAGATGATCAGCTTCTTTCTATGCTTTCTACCTAACAGAGGAAAGAGGATCTTTTCTGAAGGACAAAATATCATCTAGATCCTCTACACATTTTTTTCAGTAACACCCATCATTTATTTAAACAATTGCTATAACATGTAGAAACAGAATCTGATCACTGAACCCCAAAATAAAAAATAAAACTGAATTTTATTTGTTATCTAAAACTAGAGAAGAGGCTCCCATGAGGATAAGGAGACTATTCTTTTCATTGCTGACTCCTCTGTACCCCCGGAGATGTCTGCAGATAGTAAGCGATCATTAAAACATTGCTTAGTGGGTTAATGAAGTGACCCAAACTATTATAAGTATGTCTCTATGGTATGAGTGTACACATACACACACGCACATACTGAGTCGTGAAATTTTTTCCCCACTAAAACAATAAAGATGTTTTAAACTATTTTCTGAATTCAATTTATTTTTCCAACTATATTTGCATTTTCTTGACTGCAGAATAGTTGAATGATATGTCAGCACAAAGTAAATAAGTGGCTCCCCCACCATTGACTTTGATTCTGTTTAAAGAAGATTTATTTATTTTTGCATACAGAACTGGGGTACAGGCCAGAGGTGCAGGGGCGGTGAGAGGCTTCACCAGACACAGAGTGGTGAACAGAACTGATGAAGTACACTGCTGAGGGGAGCAGCGGGCAGGTCAGGAGAGGTCTGCCATGCCATGTGGGTCTCCTCCGGGTGGGGATTGAACTCATGCTGAAATGGCTTTAGCTTCTTAGTTCTGTGCTTTAACCTGCTGAGCCACCAGGGAGGGCCCTGACTCTGATTTTATGTCTATGATGTCTACCGTGCTATGGTAACAATGCAGATGAGGTATCACTGACAATTTATGAAATAACTAATAAATTTAAAGTGAGAGTTATTGTAGAAAAGTTAGTAGTTATTCTTCTTGCTACTTTGTGCAAATATAAAATAATTAACAAATAAAAAGACCTGTCCTACAAAAATGTCACCTATGAATTCCTTGATTTGCACACCATTAACATTTACCAATATTTTCTACTCAGGCTGCAAAGGGACAGAGTGTGATTACACTGTTTAAATATCCACGTGAAATTGTAGAGCTTCATACATGATGGCTCAGGAAGCAATTCAGAATTAACTTTTATTTCCTAAGAGCACCATTAAAGTTTTGTTCAGAGTCTCAGCTACTTATTTCAACTATACGTTCACTATTTGCTGGTTTTATTTGTGCTGGAAGATCCTGTCATTCTATCTGCTTTCCAAGTAAATATAGGTGATTGCTATTTCCTTTTAAAATTCTAAATGAATTTCTTTTCATGCTTTAACTTCAGTTTTTACTTGATCTTGGTATCGCAAGCTCAACTGTCAAATCCATAAGAAATGTGAGAAAACCTCAATATATAGGATCCTGATAGGGCCCATAAATATCACAACAGTCTGGAAAATATGAGCTCCTAAGACTACCATACCTGCTGAAAGCTAAGTGCTAAATGGCCGTAAACTAAACAGACTCCAAGTGGGCAAAACAGTCAATAAAGCCCTAATATACAGAACAGGTCTTACAGGTAAGAATCTTGGTGACGTGCAACAAAAGCTCCAGTTTGCTTCCATCTATTATTTATATGTAAGTGGATGAGCCAGGGCTACTTGATTTAGGAGTTGAATCTCTGAAAGTTTAATAGGAGGCAGTAAACATAGATCACCAACCCAATGTGGATTCATGCTTCACTGAAGACACATCTGGGGCCAGTAGATTCATAATGCCACAGCTGTCTCTCTCGGTCATGTGTAGGCAACATAAACAAGATTGGGGACTTCAAGTAAACCAAGGATAAGACACTGTCTTACATAAGTTCAGACCAACATTAAATACTCAATTAAAGCAAAAACTCCAAAGATTATAAAGTTAAAAAAAAAAAAGGGAGAGAGAAAATTTTCTATAACATTCTAGCAATTAAAGCTAGACATAGTTTATGAACTTCTCAATCTTTTGTGTTTCAGATAAAGTGATTAACAGTTTATATACCTGTCATTTAGTAACTAGTATCCCAAAACATTGCATTATAGTATTTTTGCTCAAAATTCCTAATTTTTGACTTCTGAAAGACTTTGGAGGACCTCAATATATGTGTATGGGTCTTCTATACAAGACCTAAAGTATGAAGCTAGAGAACAAGAATCAACAGAATATCAAAAATACTTCAAACCTTTGTTAGAAATATCCTATAATAGGGACTTCCCTGGTGATGTAAGGGTTAAGGCTC